AATTCCCAGGCCATCCTGGCCTTATGTGATGTTTATTGGATGGGGAGGTAAACAAAAAGTCACAAGCTTAATTTGATATTATTATATTATGACTGTAACTAGATCCTAACTTCACTTGAAGATTTTCATTATATCAAACTTTCAAAGTTGATTGTAGGTATTGAAGCACTCAGTAAAACTGTCAAGGTAGAGAACCATGAAGAATATATTTTTAACTTAATTTGATCTATTTACAAAATGGAGCTTTGAATATTTCACAATGAGCAATGCATTTTTCAATCCATTGTGATTCATCGAGACCATTCTATAAACCAGCCAATTTGTTAACGTAGTTTTCTGGATAGCAATTAATCTGCAAAATTCCTCACGAGTCACCGAAACTTCAAAGAGATATTGATCAAACAACTAATAAACGTCTGTTAAGGTAAGTATATCTCTGTCAACAATCCGCTCAACAGCCGCCATTCCGAGAAAATCATAAAAAAAATCACCGCCGCCTTCTAACATCTGAACCTGACTTATATTCTACATAAAAGACGTTTTGTTCGAAATCGTCGAATCATGAATGGAAGAATCCAAAAATAAAAGCGCTCCTTAGTGACTACGAAAGCCGAGCGGTTTTGTACAGGGCGAGCATCGAAAAAATATTTATCAAGTCAGTAGGATAAAATTCTCGTTTCAATCTGAAAAATTTCATATTTGAAATCAAGTAATCGTTCATGACAGTGATGAGGCGTAAATTAATTGAAAGAAATTACATTTACCAGATATATTTCTCAGATGTAAATCTAGGATTTGATGAGTAATAACTATCCATCAAACTATCTCAGTAAATTTTCTGATTGTCCCGATCATTTTGACAAATGTCAAAAATGATCTATTTTCCACTAAACGAACTTTAATGTGCCCTGCCCTGTAACAAATTAATGAATTAACTGTCGTAAACAAACTTATTTCCAACAATATTTCACTAATCACAAACTAATTTATTTACAACACCTAGCAACTAACGCTTAATTTATTTCCACTATTCGAATTTCTTTTTTAGCCGCTCGATTCACTTTCTGAACTGCCCTCTTGGGTCGGGAAGACGTTCTTATGTAATGTAACGGTCCCTTCTAGAAATCTGTAGTTGGTCCGGTACTCGACAAGAGTTTTACCGGCGGTTGCATTCTTTCGCGGTGATGTCATGTATTTGTTTCATGATTCGGCCGGCGTACTGGTCAGGGGCGGCTTTAGATTCGTTACAATACTGATCGATAAAGAACTTTATACTCAATAGAGAATTTTGTACACTATATATTGATGCTGATGAATTTTTTTCAAATTCCAATTTGTTACCTCTTTTTAGCTTTTTACTATATGATTTCGTTGAGCGATTTTTGGCCAATGTTTCTCTACGATTCCAAATTGAATCAAAGCGCTACCGAAACAGCCCGAAAAAGCTTCCAGGCATTAGGAAATGAACGCACTGTTCGTCGTTCGTTTGCGAAGTGATCGACCTACAGTTATCCAGGACGAGGATTTGCGGAACCTGTTGGAGACTGACCTATCACAAATAGTGCGTTGGATGGAGGAAGAACGGGGCTACTGCTCCCACGCGGTTTTTAATGATTTAAATCGTATTGGAAAGGTCAAAAAGCCTGAAAAGTAAGTGCCCCAGAATTTGAACGATCGACAGAAATTTTCAAGTTTTGAAGTCTGTTTTTCTTTGCTTTTGTACAACCAAAACGACCGGATCTTCACGTGGGATAAAAAGTGGATTCTCTACAACAACAAGAGATGTTCAGGAGAGTGGTTGGACACTGATGAGCCACCCGGGCACTTCTCGAAGGCGAAAACCCACCAAAAGAAGATCATGGTTACTGTATGGTGGTCAGCGTCTGGTGACATTCACTATAACTTTCTGCAACCGGACCAAACAATGAATTCTATGAAATGTACCGAATGGAATGTACCGAATGTACCGTCAGCAACAGCCCGCCTGCTCGTTTCACAAATCATCCTCCGAAAATTGAACGAATTGAGCGTCAAAGTTCTGCCCCACCCACCATACTTCCCAGATTTCTCGCCAATCGACTATCATCTTTTCAAGAACTTCGATAACTTTCTCGCCGGTAGAACCTTCGCCAATAAAGACCAGGCAAGAACGACTTCATCGAATCCCAAGCACATAATTTCATAATTAATCGACTCATGCTACGTTGGAAAAAGTATACTCAAATGCTGCCCATTTTGAATAAATTGAATGAGTATTCACTGAGATATTACAGCTCAAACTAGGCTCATTGAAACGGATATTTTTTATACTAATGTCAATAAATAAAAAATTGGTATAATAAAAGTCATGCCAAACAAAATTTTTCATATAAAGATGGTTACATATTGTTAAGAAAATATAAAGAATTCAGCCCCTTTCCAAAAGTTCAAATAATGTCCAAAAACAAAAGTCAAAGCTGGTTTTGAGGTCTTCTGAGGAGAAGACTTCAACAAGGCGACTATTATAAACTGCGAAAGACAGGCGGTTGTCTACCGGGCTAGCATCGAGAAAATATTAGTACTTGTTAAAAATTGTGACATCTGCATATCATCAAAATGCTTTTGATGGTGCGTCGCTAAAAGCGTACTTTGTTTTACGACGAGTCAAAGCCACCTATGTGTGCGGAGACTTGCGATGAGTCGTCTGGTTCGGAGGCGAGAAAGTCCTCTAATTCTAATTAGTTTCTCGTTGAATGACACTAATTTTCAGTAGAATGTCTATTGGATTCTATATGTTGGGAGTTGGTGGTATTTGACGACGTGTAAGAGCACTTACAATTCGTGGAGCCATTCAGACTTCAAGATGAATCGTTTGGTCTGAAACAAAATGTCTGGCACCTGCAAAGAGAGATTGGAGCTAAATTTGAATGCATTCATTGATTATTTCCATTTTTGTTAAAAAAAATAATTGTCCAATTCCAATTTCACAAAAAATTAACTACTAGTCCCATAGAAAATACAACAGAATGAAGTTGAAAAATACATTTTTAATTAGGTTATAATGAACCAAACTATCACTGTACTAGAACCAAAACACATAGACATATCTATAATCTGTCCATCTAAGCTACGGAGTGCTCCAAAACATTATCATGCATAGTGCCCGTGTTCTCCCAGACACGGCTGCTTATACAGAGTTGTAACCTTTATACATAGTCAACATTTTATTTTATTTTATTTTTAGATTGCGGCTGGGTATAGGAACATTTTTTAGGTGTAGTGTAAGAACACAAATTAGCAGTTTCTTCAGCCGATTGCAATTAAATCTGATTGGCCAGCGTAAGGAGGCTTGTTTATCTTACACAATAGATGCAAATGTGCGTGATCATGCTTCGATCAAGCCTCTATTTCTGTTTGGGTTGCTTTTTTTGTTGTATGGATATAGTTTATGTTGTTCATACTCAAACTGTAAATGTTTTCAACAAAATCATTGTACACAGCGCCATTCAATTATTTGAGGAGAAATTAGAAATTCAAAATGAATGATTCCGATATTTTCAATGATGAAACACTTGTGAACTTATACAGAAGATGCACCAAAATCAAAAGTTTTAAAAAGAACTCTGTATATTTTTTGACCATTTCATCGCCTATACAATTCTTTTTTAAGGATATGTGGTCATTTCCATTCAAAATGGTGATCGATTTCGTAATTTTTCTTAATTTATTTTGGACGTCATATGCTTTTGACTTCAAAGTGTAACTATTTTAATACAAAAAATGTCAAGTATACCATGCTCTTCATTTTTCTGTGCCAGTGACCGAGTAGTTATTTATTAACTCATAATGATGTAGAGCAGCTTTGGCACTTTTTCACAATTCTTCAAAGTAAATAATTTTATAACCTAAATACTGTTACGTTTTTACCGTGAGTTCACCAATAATTGACAACACTGAATAATCAAACATAACTTTATTTCACTTTAGTTACAACAAACACTCGCCAAAGTTCCATCGACATCGGTAGCATAACTCTCACTGCTTCTCGAGCGGCAGGGAACATTGGGTATTCCCACGCTCTCAGCTACGTCACGTTTGGTTTATGGTTACCAGTGGCGGCCGGCGTTACTTTCTTTATTTCTACAACAATACCGAGAGATTAAAAAAAATGTTTGAAAGTACAATTATGAAAGACACAGTGTTCGAATATATGAACAGAGAACATACATGACTAAACTCGTATTTTTTGACAGTAGGATTTCATTGTTGAAATCTATCGGGTCTGGAAGTGTGACCGCAGAGCCGACATTTTTTCACACAAAAATCAACCGCACAGTACCTTAGACATTTTTTGTACTGGAAGAGAAATACTTCAATATCAAAGTTTAAAAATATATCACGTCCTATTAAGATTTTCGATATCAATGAAGTAGAATATGGCATTTTAAAAATTTTTTGAAGATTAGTGAAAAATTTGAAATATTGAATTTTCATTCAGAAATCTTGCAGCTTTCGTCCTTTGTTCCTTCCTACATCGAGTTGTTCGACAATATTTCTATAGATGACGTCATAGTGCCTCCATATTGAGTCACACTCAAGTTTTTCAAACGTTAGAGATGAAGTTCCAACAAAATTTCTATATCTATAGTATCTATATCTATAGTATTCCTTGGTCGTTGCAGTGCTGAATATATAGGTCAGACTGCCGGAGTATTGAAAGATCGTATATCTTCACATAAAAGCGATTGCATATTACATCCGGAGAGATATATTTTTAGTAAGCATGTCTTCAGGCATTGATTATTGCGGATGCGGATATAGAAATATATGCAGAAGCTCCGCATTTGCGGAAATTTTGACCGATGTCATGTTTTGGATACCAGATAACAAAACCAAAAGCAAATTATTTTTAGGATTCAAAATATAGGTCATTTTTTTACAGACCTACAAGGTCGGTTGAATTGGATAAAAGTGTCCTATTTTGGGAAACTAGTATACCTTTTCAAATCGAGAATATCAGTGGTTGTTTTTGAGATGATCCCCTAAAACTAGAATTGTCGAATTTTGTTTTTTGGCTCCATGCCTCCATTTCGAATGAATCATGCAATGGACTATAATTGGAAGAACAGTTACGAAACCTGGGGAGTGAGCAGATTGAGACCCGGCGTCAAGTCACAAAACCCCAAAAGTGTGTCACTACCTGAGGAATAGGCAGATTGAGACCCCGGCGTCAAGTCACAAAACCCTAAAAGTGTTTCACTTCCCGAGGAGTAGGCAAATTGAGATGTCAATGTGAGCATACTTTCCAATTATTGAAAATGACTTCAAAGCCGCAGCCGAAACGTCGAACAACGCAAAACTCAAGACGAGATTCAACTAATATGTGTTTGGGAAACTTCTGTATTACATGTTTGCTATAATACTCGATCTAACTTGATTGAAAAACACATTTCTGCATATATGACTTCAATTTTAACATTTTCTTTTTTTTTCAGTGAAACCGATATTCAATAAAGAACCCCAAGACGTGGTGGCTCTCTCCGGCCAGAAAGTCGTCTTCGAATGTTCCGTCGATGGGGATCCAACTCCCAATGTGCTGTGGCGACGAGAGGACGGAAAGATGCCTATAGGACGTGCCAAAATTCTCGACGATAAATCATTGATGATAGAAAATGTCCAAACAAAGGACGAGGGCCTTTACATCTGTGACGCTGAAAATTTGGTCGGGTCTATTTCGGCCAGGTCGTCGCTGGTTGTCAATTGTGAGTATATAAAGAAAGAAACCTGGTTGAAATGGGCGAGAACTGAATGAATGTATCACATGGAATGTATGATAATGGTCGGGATCATAAATATAGTCAAGAGTCAACAACTTGTACCTGAAATCCTTGTCTTAATCCATAAGAGTGTTAACAATGAGNACCAACAGTGGTATATGCGTTGACTGCGAGGACGACGGTTGTATCTCGAAGTATCAGCAAGGACTGACACTCTTATATTTTATTTTTTCAATCATTCGTTTCATTTATAGGCCAAGGAATTGCACGTTTCAAGGTAAAACCTCGTATATCCTTAGCTCGAATTTTGAGGGTTGTCGTTCGTAGTAGAACTGGTTAACGGAGGAACAGATTTTAACATATTTAACCAAATTCATGAATACGACAAGTTACTGACTGATTCGTCTCTCCAAAGATTTATATTATGCAGTAACTTTTAGGGGTTAACTTTTTAGTTTGCCCTTTATTACACTCGTGCAGAATCTCTACAGATCTATATTTATATATTTTTCAAATTGTGGGAGATCAAAAACCCAGAAAATATTGAGGAACAGAATAACCTAATTTATCGTCTAGTCTAGTCATTGAAGAAACAGTAAAGCTTATCGCTCAATTGTCCGGCACAGCACAGCATGGCGCTGTCCGTCGCCTGATGGCAACGGGTAGTAGCATCACCTACTTGTCCAACTACAACCAGCATACTGAAGGTGCTGTTTGTTCGATTTCAAGGGAATTTCACTTGAAATTTTTCCTCGTCCATTTTCATAGGTACCGTCTGACACTGTATTGTCAACTGATGGAATAGCAAAACAGAAAGACTGAAACTTCCCAGGCACTTTTGGACAAGATGATGCTGGCCGGCGCTGGCCGGCGACAGACGCTCTTGGCTGTGCCGTGCCGGGCTATTGGGAGCTGGTCCATTCATTTTCATTGTTCCAATCCTATCCGTATTTTGACAGGACGTGCTGTGCGGTGTCGTGCTGTGCGGTGTCGTGCTGTGCTGTGCTGGACAAGTGGGCGATAAGCTTAAGAGTTTGTTTTGTGAACCAGACAAAACAATTTGTTGCAACCACAGACCTGCTTTGAATTATCTTTCTCTCTTACTGTCAATCTCCGATATCATCTGTTCACACACATATTTTTTCGGTATTCGACAAGGAAATTGTTTTCAGCACCTCCAACATTTATCGAACGTCCCCGCGACCAAAAAGTTAGCCTAAATGGAGTCGTCGAGTTCCACTGTTCTGCCACTGGAAATCCGCAGCCTTCCGTTTTCTGGAGCAAAGAGGGCTCGCAGATCTTGATGTTCTCCGATAACTCCAACGGCCACATGCACGTCAACGCCCATGGAACGCTGAGGATACAGGGCGTGCAGAGGGAAGATGCCGGATTCCTAGTTTGTAATGCTCTTAGCGTGGCGGGATCCAGTAGTGTTAGAGCTTTTCTCCAGGTGAGTGATTTTTTGTGAATATTTGAATTTAACAGGTAGTAAATAAAGAAAGCGGTTTTCCGGAAATTGAAATGTAATGCAAGGCAATATGGAAGTAGCTATCAACTTTGGAGTAGTATAATTCCTGAACCAAGAATATTTAATGATAGCTAATTAGATTGAGTCCCCAGATATCAATCGGAGATCTTCCAACTCATGTAACAGTTGCTTCGATTGCTATCTATGAATATCACCAAGCTACTGTTCAATTTTCTTTTGAAGTTGGCCATTTTTCGCTTGATTATGGGTTTCCATATGTTGCGTATCTCTACGCTAGCTTGGCTGAATACATTGTTGGACAACATGTATGCGGCTTCTTTGAATTTCCTCCCAAACCAATGTTTCTCTCTGTGTATGATCTCAGCATAGGACCAATCGATGTTATGTTGATGAGTCCAAACATGCTCTGCTATTCCTGATTTGCTGGTTTCCTCTCGCTGTGTGTGTTTCTTGTGCTCGACAATGCGAACATTCAATGGCCTCCTAATTTCACCGATATAGAATTTTCCGCACTCACATGGTATTCGGTAAATGCAATTCTTGGAATCGCAGTCTGCGTTTGGTGGTCTAGTTTTTGTGAGGCTGCTACGGATAGTGTTTTCGGATCTGAAGCAGGTTCTGATGTTGTACTTGAAACTAATTCTTCTTATCCTTTCCGATAATCCTCTGATGTAGGGAAGTACAAGCACTGGTTGTGGCGGCTTCTCTTCCTTACGAGGCTCCTGCTGTCTTTTGACCAAAGTCTCTTCTACCATTGCTTTGGAGTAGCCAGTCCGTTGAAGATCATTTTTGATGATATCTAGTTCCTTCTCGTATTGGTCGACACTAAATGAGAAACATCTGTATACCGAAAACTCACTCACACGGGACAGTACCTGAACCACGAATCCAACCACCTTCAATCGACTGAAAGAGGAATCATCAAGACTCTATTAGACGGTGCTTTCGGGCTTTGTAATACGAAGGAAGGTGTCTCGAGAAGGAACTAGACATTCATGACGTTTGGTTTAGGAGGAAATTCAAAGAAGCCGCATACATGTTGTCCAACATTGTATTCAGCCAAGCTGACGTAGAGATACGCAACATATGGAAACCCATAATCAAGCGAAAGATGGCCAACTCCCGGCAAACGGTCATCTCCCACTAATTCCTTTTGGATATATCTTTGTGTGTGGTGGTTGACGAAGTTCAGTAGCATCAACCCTATTTCAGCTTCGCATAAACTAACTTCCCAAAACAACGTCAAGCCCAACATAGCTTCGCAGACGACAGTGTTTGAATTTTAATCAGGGAAAGAACAGGAAGGAATAAGGATCCATTAATATCGTGGAGCTCAGCACTACTGTAATGCAGGATCTCCATTATCAATGCTGTTAGTTACTGTCATCAATATCTTCTTATGGTATTGAAAGGGGATGTTATAAATAACACTAAAGCTGTATCGCAAAATCTCAGCAGCTTCTACACGTTCTAGAGTACAGCTCGCCTGAGTTCTTTTAAGCAGTACACCTGCAATGAACCTGAAAATTATTCTGTTTTCTTCGGTGATTTCTATCATTCGTAGTAGCAAGTGGAGAGAAACCTGTAATAACTGAGAAACTACTGTTCTACATAAAATTCATAATAAATAATGATTTGCTTCGATAAAAACACATTCATTTTCACAAAATAAATCATAATTATACAACAATATATATATATATCTCACAACTTTTCGTATACAAAAATTGTTCAAGGCAATTTATAGCATCATATTTTTTTTGTTTAATACTTGAATTGCTGAATTTTTCTGATAAAAATTCATTAAATAAACTTGAATATAGTGTGCAGATGACAGTTCATTTTATTTATATTCTTCTCAAATTAGTTTGTCTTTATTTTACATTATCTCAATCTTCAACCCAAAGGAATCTCCGTTCTTTTTTTGAAAACTTTATATTGCTACTGGTTCTGGACAGTATCTTGAATTATATCGTTTCATTATAGGTAACTTCAGTTGCTGACCTTCCTCCTCCCATAATTCAAATTGGTCCAGCTAATCAGACTCTACCGCTGCACAGCATGGTGACCCTTCATTGCAAAGCTTCGAGTCCTGAAGGTGAACCCCCAAAAATCCGCTGGTTGAAGGATGGAGAGACATTACATAGTAGCAACTTACCTGAGAGATATACACTGACTGCTGGAGGGACTTTAGATATCGATGGTGAGTACTAAATGAATTAATGTGACAAATGGTTGAATTTCCGTGGATTCAGTGAAAATATAGAAAATGGAGCCGTAAAAAGCACTTTTCCCAATCACCAACAGTCGGAGATTCATGACAATGACACCAGTCAGGACCCTCGCCATGGGGGGACGGGTGGATGGGGTGATGGGAGGGATGGGGGAGAGCCACTCCCTTCTTTTTCGACTTGAGAAAAAGTTGGAAAATTTTGGGCCGTGAAGATGATAGTAAATGATGTAAAAAATGAATGAAAATTAAAAAAATAAAAATGAGAGAAAAGAAAGGGAGAGGTAATAAGAAAAGAACCGGGAGAGGTTGGGATTTCCCAACATGGAGATGGAGATCCCATACTTTGAAATTCTGAGTTGTTTGAAAACTTCAAAAAAGTTTAATTTCTCCCAAGTAAGAGAACAGTCCTGAACAGTCCACAAATTTTGAAGTGACAATTTTACAAAATTCCCAACTTTTCGCTGTTTTTTCGACTTGGAAAAGTTGAGATTTCGGGCCGTGAAAATAGAAAAAATAATAGTAGAAAACAATAGGCACAATATTATTCAAGTGTCCTTTCATTTGTATTGAATATTCCTATACATGGTGGATATGGTGAAAGATCAAGGACCTTGGTCCAAAGTAGAATATTTCCCATTATTATTTTTATAATTACCAAAATTTATTTTTGTTACTGCATACCCTAACGGGCATAAGCATTCAGCCAATCTTTGGAAGAAAATCAATATATTATAGTAGTAACTAATCCCTTGGCTTTCATTTTTTCGAAAGTTAGGAAATTTTGCTGGTGGGGTTGGGAAAATTTGGATTCCCTTCCCCCCTGGTATTTCTTTTCGCTACGGCCCTGACACCAGTGTTACCTACATCTGGATACTACATTAGTTTTCTTTTTTTTTGATAGATATTATTGCAACATAGAAAATTACATGAATCAATTACTAAATTTGAGGTACTCTTTCACATAACAGCAATAGATTCGGTCAATAACGTAATCCGTATTCTATAGCAAAGTGTTTATTCTTCCTCTTTCTTTGGTTATTGTATCCCTACCTCTTATTGCTCCATCATCTAGCACCAATTCCTATTCAAACACATCTGCTAACTCAGAACGAAAAGAATGTCTCAACATGAGGTCTCTGAAATAAAAAACGTGGTAGTCTGTATCTTTATAAAACGTTTGCAACCAAAGTTTAGAACGCACCTTTCCTTCATGCCAGACAGCTTCAAACTTTGTTTCAGTTAGGGTGGTGGCATTAATTTCTGATAACATTGGTGTCTACAGAAATTCAAAATATAGACTCTGGGGGGGTAGTCTTATTGAATGTTTGCTATTGATAAATCGCATTATATTATATGTATATTAAACTAACCTTTCGTTAGAAGATTCTGTAATGTTCCGAGAATCACCTTCTGTTTGTTTCATCAGATTTTCCATAATCACTTTCAAAAGCGTTATATGCTCACTGTCAACAGTATATGTTCACCGCACACTGAACACTGAACCGTGCGAATAGAGGCGAGAGATACGGCTAGCGGAGAAAGGGAAGCCAGAGATACTGGCGCTGTTATGCGTTATGTTACCAAGCGGTTTACCCTCCCATAAGAAGTTATCACTTCAAAAACGGAATTTCGAAATTTTTAGTTTTTCCGGAAGAAGAAGAGCTACAGTCGGTTTTTCGGTTCATTTAATACTACTCAAAATATGTAAATATGCCACAATTTAGACTTTGTTCCATATCTTAACGTTTACGAGTTACCCGTGTGTAGAATTTGAATAGCCTCTGTTTTTGGATATTTAAGAAAAAACAACTCGTTCAGAAAATTTGTTTTGATTTGTTGGGTTAGTCTAACTCAAAATTGATATTCACTTCCAGAAAGCCAGAGGTAGATTCGTATCATAGTGTTTCTCTAATTTTTCCCTCCATCTAACAACGGTATACTAAGTCTTTTCAAACATTCAATTTTCACTCATGCAGACTATTTACATTCACCTCTCTGGGAATATCCTTTGTTCTCGCGTCGGAAAATTTCTCGTTAACTTGCAAATTTTTCAACCTACGTATTTGTTCAAGTTTTTTCGGGCATATGCATATAATGCAGGATGAAAGAGGTAAATTGCATATCCTCAGGCGTCAGTGCACCTTTCAAAAAGCTTAAATTATAGACCTTTTGTCGTGTCACAAAACTACACTGAATCGCTTTATAATTACTATTATTCACCTCGAACGCAAAATTGGTTTCGGCGGCATTGTTCATCTATGAATGAAATCAGAATATTACTTCGGGAATATACCGTGTTTTATGAAACTCATTATATTGTGAATGAATTACTGTCAAAAAAAATTCTCAATCAAGGTAACCTCAGTCATTACTGCGATGGCGACAATGGCGATGGCGATGAAAACGGCGATGGGGAAGATTGCAGCCCGGCTGTAAACCGCTGTCATATCAATACATATAATAAATTTGTAAATGGTCGCTGTCTGTTTGTATGCGCATTTGTAAGCGCTAACCTTGAAAAGGGCTCTTCATATTTGGGAACGGTTTTCACTTATGTATTTTTGGTAAGCCTTACTGAACATTTAGTTCAAGGTTCATTTCAGCCGGTTCATAACTGAAAATGTTCAAGGAAGGTTGAAAAAAAATACATTAAAAACACCGTTCATTCGATTTGGCTGGAACTTCAACAATATTGGGGTCTTTGGACCCCACTGGACATATCACCTTGTGTCCTTCTGGATGTTCTGGTCTGCCAGGTCCAAAATACATCTCTCAGAGTCAATAGAGCGCTATGATGGATCATTTCTCAAGAGTCTTAAGGATCTGCGAGAAAAGTGCGGCACAGGAGAAAGAAGGCACAGTTTCCATTTCCCATTTTTTTGAAAGTTTCGAATGGTCTTGTTTGTAAGTGAATTATCTATATATCCTTCAGCGACATTGATAGACTTCCAGCTACCGTGTCTGCTTCCAGAAGTCGCAAGGGGAGATTTCTTGTCCTACTCTGCAGCGGCATTGTCGGTCTGCTAGAAAAGATTAGATTAGTCTTACCATTTGTTTCGAGTAGCCAAGATTGCTCATTTTGGCTAGTAGTCGTTGCCTCCTTGAATGGATACGAGAAATGTTGCAGTCTGAGTATAGCTTTAATGATATTCGTCATTGCCGCTATACCCTTTCTTGGTAGGACCTTCAGAGCCCGGTTTGTTATTTGGTCCGAGCCTGTGGCTTTCCGACTCGAGAAGAGCTTTGCAAGAAAATATAGGTGGCGTGTGAAAAGACAAATACATACAATACCATCAATTTAACTGACGAAACTACCGTGGAGTGAAACGTGTCTTAGGAGAAAACGCATGCACATAATCAATATATTCAGAAAGTATCTGACTACCACACCTGACACCAAATATTGGTTTTAAGTTTAAAATATAATTAATTTTCCAAATATGGTAATTTCTACTAATTGTGCAATATTACATTGTTATAACACTTAAAAACAAAGGATATCAACTAACTAATTGATTAAATTTTAAATTACCATGATACAATATAAAAGAAAAGATTGAATGTACACATCGAGGAAGCTGATGTTTTGGTTTAACATCAATATATATGCAGTTTCATTTAGCTGTACCTCAGATATTGTCGTAAATCTATTAAATAATTGGATCTGATATTCAAATTCATTGATTATATGGTTCATTATATACTTGATAAATCTTGTCGATAAAGGTAAACCAGTGGTAGTAAGTAGATTGTATATCATTTTCATTTCATCACCCACCATTTCCTGACAAATGTCACATCATAACCTGTGAAAATAACCTAGCTCCAGAGAGTTTGGAGATAATAACGTTGCAGCAAATTTGAATTGGTGGTGTATACGAATTTGTACGATTCTGTGAGCACTAAATGAAGTTTTCTGCATAATTGGAGTTTCTGTTTTGTTGCTACGCAAATTCAGTAATTTCCATGGAATTTCGATTATATTGTCATTTGAACGAGGTCGGTGAAACTGTGCAGATTCCCAGTGGGGCCATTCACGTGTATTCGATAATAAATGAAAAAAACAGAACAAATATTTTCCACGGTTGTGATTGGTTGATTCGAAATAGCTTTTGAATGTTTATGTACTATGGAAATAATTTTACAAGGAAAACGTCGCAACTACCCGTACACATGCTATATACCTCGCATATGATGTTGTATGTCTGCCACATTTTGTCTGCAAATTGAAAAACAGGTTGATTCTAATGTGATGTTCACAGATTTATGTTATTGAAATATCTCTATGTCCCATGCCCAAAATCCCCATGCCTTGGACAGGTCCAGAGTTGTCGTGAACCTAACAGATCAGGTCCTCACGGAAGATGAAATGGCAGTGCTAGCAAGAGGTGGTAACTTCTCGGTAATTCCGCCGCGGGTACCTGATGAAGAAATTATAGCTAATACGGAAGCTGCAATCAGAACTCTACCGGATGATGAAGCGGAAGAAATTCGGATTGAGACAGCGAATATTCTACGTAAGCTCCTGAACACCAAAATGCAATATACCAAATAAAGAAATTGTGGCTTTTAAAAAACCTGAACTCTAATGAGGAGATCATCGTTCTACCAGCTGACAAGAGAAATGTCACGGTGCTTTTGAAAACAGAAGAATACATCGGAAAAATTGACCCGTCCAGCTACCGCAAGCTGAAAATAGACCCAACACAATCAAGGTTGCGGAAGACGAACCGTTTCATAAAATCATCGTCATCATTGTCCGAAACTACTCAGAAGACAGGGTTGGAAAAAAAAGTGTTTTTTTTAAAGAACAAAACATAATGTTTCATTTGAAAAACAAAAAAAACACGTTTTTTATTAATGTATCATTACTGTTTTAATTGCGTTGTTTTAAACATGTTTTAATAATGTTTTAAACACGTACATAGGTATAAAATGAAACAAAATAATCAAAAATCAAAAAGTACTTCATTTATTGTAATTATAATTATTATTTATTTATAATAACAGTTTCCAAGTTGAGGTGCAATCAAGTTCAATCAACTTCCCTTCTCCTATCTTCTACTCAACCCTCAACTTCCATGACCTGAAGTTTCTCAAGAGCTCTTAATCAAGCAAGCTTGATAGAGAGCCCTCATAATTGCAACCAATTTAGCAGATTTCTCTGTCCCGAGCTTGTTTCTTAATTTTGTATGAACCAGTCCGAATGTCGAGAAAAACCTTTCAATTCCTGCAGAAGAAGCAGTTGCAGTAAATAACTGACAAGTAATTTCGAGCATCCTTGGATCCACTTCATTACTCAGTGATTTCCACCACACAGACACATGCGTTTTCATTAAAATATCTTTTTTAAACATGTATTCCAAAAAAGGATAACTCCTCGCACGGTACATCAGGACATCTTTCATGGCATGCGGACAGCTCGAATCTAAAAAATCCATGCCTATTGTGTCCTCCTCTTCTGCATTATAATTGGTGTCTAATATATAAGCAGAGAAATGTGCAGGTGTCATTGCGGCTTTAAATCTTGCTTTAAGTTTGTCTGCTTCTTCTGGCAACCAGTCCGATGATAGTAAATCTTTCCATATATGTGTACAATCACTTAGGACGCACATGTCTTTCTGAATGAGATCGAGCGCTCTGACTACCTTTTTTCAGTTTTTTGAGATAGTACTCAACATTTTCTTTGAACTCAACATCTTGGACGTTCCTTACGATTGTTGAATCTCATATAGTCCTGTGCTCGCTGCATATTTTCACTAGACAGTGCCAGTTGTTGACGTAGGATTCGAGACAATCTGCTAATGTATTCCAGCGTACATCTTGAGATGGTACAAGTTTTTTTCCACCAGCCTCCTTGTACTTTGCTTATGGAAAATGATGATACTTGAAATACTTTACAATCTTTTTTGCATTGCTTTTTATCTCCGCCTCTTCAATATCCTTGGCAAATAAATTGATTGAATGAGCAGAACAGCCATATGTTCAAAACATGAATTGATCGATTTCGTTCGGCTTTTATTCTATCTAGTTGAACAAAAGCAAGCCGAGAAATACCCGCATTTTACGAACATTCGCCGCATTACCGCTTGTCAATCAGGGGAGTCCCATCTAGTAATACCGAAGTTGCCAACTCTTTGGTAAAAAACATACTATAAAATGAGTTTCTTAGCTTCTTCTTACTAAAAGTATTATGTGTTTTTTTATGTGTTTTAAACATGGTTAAAACAAATTGTTTTTAATTGTGTCTGACAGGGTTGGCAATGTTAAAACAAATGTTTTTAACATTGCCAACCCTGTCAGAAGACCATTTTAGGAACAGAAGCTGTCCCGTCCCGCCAAGGATCTACGGTCTTCCGAAGTACACAAAATAGAAGGTCCGTTGAGACACATAGTGAGTGCACCGGGTTCGCCTACTTATTACTTGTCTATACACCTATCTTCGCTAGTCCAGCCTCATGTTAGAAAAATCTTAAGGAAACATAACATAAAACAGTGTTCAAACTCACCAGGAAAATACAACAAAGCCTGAGATCTGCGAAAGACAAAAGAGATCCACTGTCAGCTGCGGGGGTGTATTGTATACCATGCACCCGCGGAAAAGTTTATATCGGTACCACCAAAAGATTCATGGGTACAAGGCTGAATTAACATCGGAGAAACTGCGGATTAGGTCAAATAGAAAAATCGGCAGTAATCGAGCACGCGCTCAGTGGAGGAAATCAGACGATACTGTTTGAAGATGTGAAACTACTTGCCCCCGATCATGGATACCACAGTCGGCTTGTACGGGAAGCCATTGAAATCCATGATCATACGGAAAATTACAACAGAAAAGAAGAGGCAGTAACGCGGATTTGGAATCCCATATTAAAAGATGTTGAGGTGGCAACAGTGCAATGCAATGTTACGTCATCAACAGGTAATAGCCAATAGCGACGCATCAACAAAGGCCGGCTACCGTCAACATAGATACAACCTACGAACTAGAAATCACCAGTCACCGGTGAATCATCAAGATAAATAAACCTCTGGAGAAGCCAGCCAATCATGCTGGCGAAACATTAGGATACAGTTCCAAACTATCTCTGTAGTCGCTTTGAAATATACAATAAAAAGTGCTTTTTACACTTCCTTATTGCAATAAATCATGTAGGTGTCTTGATTAGAGTTCCAAAATAGTTCTCCCATAGAGATTCAATTTTTTATTGAATCAGATGTTAGTTTATGTTCTGTTTGAAATCAAGACATTTTTGTCTCATTGAATACTGTATCCATTTCTATAATATATCTTAAACTATGATATATAAGTAATACTATATTTGGAATATTAGAGTTTTGGAGGCGTCGCGGAGGTTAATACAGTATTATCATTAGAAATGAAAAATAATTCGTGAATTTCGAAAATCTATTTTTTTTAATATATTATCTAAACTGGTACTAGATATGTAATGAAATCGGCAGCTACTTGATGAAAATCCAGGCCTTCGGGCCTGAAGGAGGTATTGTATAGCGAAACATGTGTTGCGTTTTAAGGTGTACCTATATACCTTATACATATTTTTTCCGAATCTGAAACAAATTATTTCATACCACTGAAAATGATTTGCATAATTCACAATATTTCGAATAATTTCAACTGATCCAGATCCAGATAAACATATAGATGTAGATAATTATTCAACGGCACCTTGAAACATGAAAAATTACGAATGAAATTTACTATTGGAAGATAATTTTCAAGTTTCTCATTTGTTTTTTCTTCAGATCTACGTCTGGAAGATTCCGGCCTCTACACATGCTCCGCCATATCTGAAAGCGGAGAGAGTTCCTGGTCCGCTTCCTTGAACGTCGTAGAAGGTTCATCTGTACCACTCCATCGCAGTCCAGACCCATCGACTTTTCCACAAGCCCCCTCCGCTCCTCAAATCCTGAACGCCACTGAATCCAGCATCAGCCTTTCCTGGGAAAGCGAAGACAGCAAAGACACAGGCCTGGTAGGATACACAGTTGAATACTGGAGTCCAGATCTACAAACTGGTTGGGTGATAGCTGCGCATCGAGTTCAAAATCCGTACATGGTCGTTCACGAGTTGAAACCCGATAGTTCCTATGTTTTCATCGTCAGAGCAGAGAATGCTCATGGTTTATCTTCTGCCAGTCCGGTTTCAGCTAATGCAAGGACGTTGGCGAACTCAAGGTCTTTACCAAGTTCAGAACTGGATACTGCAAGGTCGATATTGAGTACAAAGCTTATCGATCTGAAGGACACCAGACCTCAATCATCTAGCTCAGTCAAGTTGATTTGGAGTTTTTCGGACAGCGACTACGTTGAAGGGTTCTACATACGGTTTAGAGAGCTTTCTGGTGGTTCCCATAACTACAATATTCTAACAGTTCTTGACGTTGAGGCCAAGAGTTACGTCGTCACAAATTTGAAGAAGTTCACGAAGTACGAGTTCTTTTTGTCACCATTCTACAAATCTGTGGAGGGACAGCCATCCAATTCCAAAATCGCTCAAACCTTAGAAGATGTTCCTTCAGCTCCTCCAGACAGCATAACTGCAGGGGTGTTCAATGACACTGCTGGTTGGGTGAGATGGTCACCTCCACCACCCCAACACTGCAACGGCATTATCATTGGGTATAAAATTCAAATCAAAGGAAATGTGATCAGATCCATGACCATGAACGCGTCGACAACTTCGATATTGATCAGCAACCTGACGGCAGGTGGCATGTACAATGCTAAAGTAGCAGCTTTGACTATCGCAGGCCAAGGACCTTACTCAAATCCTGTACCGTTGCTGACTTCTCCAAGAGCTCAGAGCCCTAGGACTCTCGGTCCACTGGTTCCTCTTGTGCGTCAAACCTGGTTCGTTATTCTATTGGCAGCTCTTCTGCTTCTTTTATTGGCTGGAACAGGTGGCTTACTCTATCTGAAGAGGAGGCAGTCGTTAAGCAAGCAGCTAGGGCATCTGAATGTTCCAGTCGTCAACGCATCCCAGCTCAATGCTAAAGAAAGCTTATGGATAGATAGAGGATGGAAAGCCAATGACTGCGACAAAGACGCCTCTATACCACTGTCACAGCCTGCCGACTATGCTGAAGTGGACACCAAGAACCTCTCCACTTTCTATAACTGCAAAAAAAGCCTAGAAAATCCCACACCTTATGCTACTACAATGATCCTACCTCCTCCAAACTGGTCGGAGATTATTCCTCCTCCACCAGACCATCCTCCTCCAGACTGTCCGCGAGAGAATCCTCCTGTGCCTCCACCAAGGGGTGGTGGAAGTAGCTGCGGCAGTGGAGGATACGGGTGTTACGCCGTCCATGTTCCTGTTCAATGTAGCAAAATTCAGTACCCCAGAACACGTTCTTGCAATAACTGTGATGCCCACTGCTCACTAGCTAGTGGCAGTTCGGGACATAGATCTAGTAATCGAGGCGGCCACTGTAGTAACATGCCACATAGTTGTGATACTAAAATTTGGTTCAACCAACACAATTGGGAGGATGGTGATGCTGACTGTGAGACTGATCGACACTCCTGTACCAGCAGTCATGATACTACTTGCTCTTGTAGTGAATCGTCGTGTCTGTATGCCGAGGCTGGTCCTTCCAGTAACCCCCGCTCCATTGCACACTGCCCACAAATTAGTAAAAGGGTGAAGTGAGACTTAATGGACGTTAGTGTTTATTTTTAAGCCAACAAGCATATCCTACGTGTATGTGGACAAGTGGACTCTTATTGTATTAATGCATCAAGAAGCCTGGAAACAATGGAGTGAATGTTTGATTTCCTAGTCCTAGTTTTAGTTACCGGTTGGACAACTTTTGTCTTCCTGTTGATGATTTTAAATATTCTCACATAGTTCAGATGGTTCTGAAGTGGACATTGACTCAGATTTTTGTTTACTGGCTGACATTTTGATGGCAAGGTTGAATATGTGTCAGTTGTAGATGACATGGTAGAAACTGTAGTACTGTAGGAGGGCATCTTCTGCCAAATGTATAAATTTCAAGCAAAACAGTAACATGGATAGTCTATAAAAGGCAACTGTACAATCAACTAATACGTAAAGTGAAACTCACTCAAGTTTTTTTGATAATGTTTAGCTGTGAATATTACATGATTTACATGAATTGATGAACTGACTCTACTTTGAAACCTGTTCTTACAGGTTACAGTGTTTATTACTGAAACTTTTTTCTCAAGAAGATATAAATTCAAATTATGTATATTGTATATTGATAAAAATAAACTTGAAACTGAGTGGAAGTTTTTCAACTAACTGTATTCAAAACTGCTCATAATTTTTTCACTGTCTAATGAGAAATTAAGTGCATGATGAAAAAAGATATTTTGAGTTTTATGGTAAAGTGGTCATTTTTGAACACTTTGATTACTTTTTTATACTATTTTTCTGAATTTCATGAAAAAATACCAAACTGCTGTACTTATGTTTATTGGTTCAAAAAACTTATTTTCTCCAGTTGCAGGTTTTTAAAATTTATCATTTAATATAAAATATTCATTGATTGTCCTGATATTGACTGAATTGACTGAATCCTACCCTATTAGCAATATTATTCATCAGTAAGTTTTTATAAATTGTGATTTATTGAAGATTTTAACGTGTAAATATATCTGTAAACTTGTAAATATTTTGTTATACGTAATGAGTATTTGTAAGGATTTTGTAGAAAGTATATTATGTAAAAATTGATGTAGATATTTATTATTTCCGCTCTGTTATTTATATCTGAATAAATGGTACTTATATGCTGAAATTTCTATTGGTTTTATTGATAATCGACCTAGAAAAAGTAATTTGTATTTCGACAAACTGATTTGAAATAAACCACAGGCTTCTGATTCAAAAATGACTTATAATAGCCAGACCTGAATCCACTCTGATATAAGGGAAGTATATTATTATCTTCGATGTGTGTTCTCATTTGCAGTTCAAGAATTTTTTCTAATACTTTCGATAAGGTTGGCAGCACGCTTATACTTCGTAAGTGACTGTATTCCGTTGGGTTACTGATTTTTGCTAATGGAAGTACATAAGCACGCTTCCAAGCTTTAGGAAAGTAACAACAATTCAAACATTCATTCACAACATGAGTGATGTATATAATTATATATGGACAACAGAGCAGAATCATGTTAATATTTATATTGTCAGTCCCGAAAGACTTAGATTTTATATCATAAATTATTGAGGAAACCTGATCCTCAGTTGTTTGAGAAAAATGCAGAAAACTGTTAATGTTGTCTTTAATAGAATTATAATAGTAATTAACTGTATTAGTTGAAGGTGGTAGGCCATTACTCAGTGCACTAACAAAATAATCATTCAGAATATTGACATCTCTAAGATTATCAGGTAATTCAATATGTTTCCTTTTAATAACACCCAATTTATTGAATATCTGCCATTGTTGTTTGCTATGGGAATTCTGAAGTGTGTACTCTAAATATGCCTTTTTTTCTCTTCTGATGGAGGAAGAAGTGAAATTTCTCAACTGCCTGTAATATTCAAGATGAGCAGGTTGTCGACTCCTTCTATACCTCTTGAGAGCTTTGTCACGCATTCTTTGCATCAATCTGATATTATCAGTAATCCATGGGGTGTAATTTTGTTTCTTTTTCGCGAAATACGAGGTTTTCTGTGGTGCATGCTTATCAGCCAATAACAAAATATTATCATTAATGAAATTAATTTTATCATCAATTGATTGAATATCGTGAAATATGATCCCAAGGTATATTTTCAAGGTCACTTTGAAAACTGTTCAGATTGATGTCATTGAAATTTCTATAAGTATATTTTTTCAAAGAACGAGGCATCATATTTAACTGCAATGAGCAAGAAATAACGAAGTGATCAGCTATGTCAGCATCGCTCACGTCAGCACTCACAATTTCAAAATTAGTAAACAGTAAATCTATAAGAGAGACACTATTTGGGGCCATCAATTCTCTGTATCAAATTAACCGTGTCGGTAATTGCTCTTAGGTCACTTGATAGCTCAGAATTCGAGTCTAAAAAATTTATATTGAAGTCGCCAGTACATATTATTTTATCATAATCTGTAAATATATTAATAAGAGTATCCTCGAACTTATTCAGGAAACACATACTATCTGAGTTGGGTGGTCTATATACAATACCTAGAGCATACTTTACTCCTTCTATTTTTACCTCAAGCCATAGCTGTTCTAAAAACTCCAGAGTATCTTTCAGAATAACCTTGATATCTAATCCATCTCTTATATATACAGCAGTCCCCCCACCCCTTCTGACCAGCCGATCATTTCTCACTAGTTTGTATCCTTCAATTGAAACTGCAGCACAAAATATGCCTGGATGTAACCATGTCTCAGAAATACCGATTATGTCATAGCCATTATCATTAATGTGAACATGTAACGCATTTAAATGAGGTACCAACGATCGCACATTCACATGTGCAACGGATAAAAGTGTAGCCATTTGAGATATAGAGAGAGAGAGAAAGGAGGAGAAAAAAAAAGTCAGTATAAAGCAAATATAATAACAGTGCGAGAAATCCTCTGCAGAAATTATAAACAGAATAATGAATGTTTTAACAACGAGAATGAAGCAATGAAGCAAATTTAAATCCAAGCAGTTGTGCACTTCAGTTGTTTTTAGTTCTACTGCGTGTGGTTACTTTTCCACCATTGGTTAACAGTCGCGAATTGAAATTGCCTTTACTCTGATTTTGGTTGACGTGGCCTTTTCTTCCTGAGGAGGGGTCTGTCGAATCAGAGGTACCGCCGCTTGCTGTTCCTAAGACTCCTGATACTACACCATCATTCAATTGTTGAGCCGTATATTTCTGACCTTCTATAATCAAGTTATATCCTCTGATAGTTGCATGTAGATTTTGTTCACGTGCACGTTTCATGTGATCCTTTAAAATCTTCAATTGGTCTCTATCCTCCTGACACATATCATTGACAATGACGATTCCAGTTCCTTTCAATTTATGGATATTGGAAAAAATAAGAGTTTTTTTCATATAGGAAATGAATTCCAATATGATTGGAATTATATAATAAAATCTACCAGTAGTAATTAGTGGTAATCAGACAAAAGTGTTTTTATTCATTTCATTGAAGTGGAATGTACAACTCATAACACTGAATATTTTTTAATTTCAAACTGCAGTGTAGAATTGAAAGATTTCCAGTTTTTTGTTTGAATATGGAGAAGTAGAAATGCAAAACCATTCTGGGATAAAACTTTTTCGTGAACAGAACGCTGGTAAACTATGATATAGTGATAAATGAGATATACAACAGAAAAATTACTTTGGGAGTAAAACAGGCGTTAAGACACTGGTTCAACCACTGTGTTCATGATGCACAATTGACCAATGAGTAAAACGTTGAAAGATTTTATTGAAGTTTATAGAAAATGTGTAACACCAACATCGGGGGAAAAAGAATACGCACATGAAATTAATTTAAGGATGTAGGCTTTCATGGCTAGCGTCAATGTTTTGGTTAGTTTTCGGGTTTTGCAGTGGTCTTCTTTGGTTACAATCTCCAAACTTTTCAATTGCAACTGCGGCAGTCATCTTCAGTGGCGTGACGTGTCAACAACAGTTGATACGTTGACTTTCCTTCAGATGAATTAGATATGAGCAATTATGCAGCAGACAATGTGGCTTCTTGTCGTTATAATCTATATGCACTTTCAAATCACAGTGGGACTACTTACAACAGGCATTACACAGCACATTGCAGACACCCATATAGTAGCACATGGCATGAATACAACGATTCACAGGTGTTCCCAATTTCGCCAAAGTCACTTGTGAGCGATGAGGCATACGTTCTCATTTATGAACAGGAGGGAACGAAGCAGCACCTTTGAGGTGATTTTCTTTCCTTTTTTATATAATCTTAGTTCTCTGAATTGATTTGTATTTCATGATTGTTCCATAATTTCATTATGTTATGTTGGTTGCATATGTGCATGTGCATCTATAGACTTCAAGGTATAATTTTAAAATATATGCTACCTACTGAAGCATTAAAGGTTTTTCAAGCAAAGGCCACTTATATGTAGTCTTATCTGGTGTAAAAAAGTTGAATAAATTTTAATTTAATTTTTGAGAGTGCCCAAATAATAACCATTTCAACGTACAAATATCGCCATCTACTAGCAAGTAGTAAAACTTCTAAGAACAGTTTCAACTGGAGAAAAAATTTTCAAACAAATATTCTGAGACAATTTCGATGAGTCGAAAATCATTCACTTTCAGAAGAAACTTCATGTAACAACTTGTTTTCAGAATGTGTTTTTATAATGATCAATCAGTCATCACTTTTATTCCAGTTCAACATTTCAAAAAGTTACAAAAGTGGTGCAACTATTTTGCAGGTTTGCAGGTTACCAAATTGTTCTCATTAAATATTGCTTACGTAATCTTGTAGAAAGGCAAAAATTCTTGCAGGTCGGGTCTCTCAGACATGAATCTCGACCAGGTTATTCATATTCGACAGAAAAATTTCCCAACTCCCACCCAAAAGTTTCACAATTCTCAAAAAATTGAAAATACATTTTGCAAGTCGGCAGAAATTCTTGCAGGTCGGCAAAAATTCTTGCAGGTCGAGTCTCCCAGACATTCATCTCGACCAGGTTACCTATTAATTTTCGGGAGACCCGACCTGCAAGATTTTCTGTCCTCCTACAAGATTACGAGAGCAAAGTCTAGTGAGAACAATTTGCTGACCTGCAGACCTACAAAATAGTTACACCCTTACAAAAGATATTTATGAATCCAGTATTTTCTTTTGAGTTTCTGAGTGGTTACGTAACTAAAATAATTACCCTGTACATCTTCATAAAAATCTGGTCGAATATCTAAAGTATTGAAAAAAATATTTCCAAACTATTGACGATCATTCAACTGACAGGTGAATAATTGAATTCTTCATAATTACATCACCTTTTTTTCTTCTCGAGAAGTCTTATGATAGTATCAGTAACATAATAATTATACATTATCCTACATAATGTGCGTCTATAAATCGCAAACAATTATTGGCCCCTCTTCATGGGAGAATTAGTACGTGGGTCATGACTGGTTCTTATACATCATTAATATCTGCTTCAAGAAGGATTATTTTGATTCAAGAGTACTTCTTCTGTTTCAACGAACTTATTGGTACCCATACGGATTCTTTGAAATAAATGAAAATGGTCGAAACTGTATCAAAATCCATAACGTATTTAAGTGGCACTTCATTATAAGATTTTCACTGAGCAGTTAACAAAACAAACCGCAATACGGGTTTCACACACACGTGCACGCACGCACACTCAAAAAAGGCAAACGATAAAAACGTGTTTCGGTCTTTTGGTCATTTATCAGTATGGTGAAGCCAAGGGCAAGAATGAGCAACACTTAGTTGCCAAAAGAAATACAAATGCATGGAACCATCAGCAGAAGTGCTGATATTCTTTATTTCTGTATAAATTCCTGGACTCGGGTGTAATTTCAGTAGTATTTTTGTAAACATAAGATCTACCAATTGAAACCACAAATGTGTGACTGGCATCTGCTGATATCATTGTGCATTTGTACTTCTTTGTCAGCCAAGAGTTGCCAATCCTTGCACGTCGCTGCAACATATTGATGATGGACCAGAAACTCGAAACACGTGTATATGGTTTGCCTTTTTTAGAGTGCTATGTCCAATAAAATTATCTTTTGAATCCAAATCAAGACACTCAAAAATCTTCACATCT